AGAGCAGGCTGATCTCTGCCTCATCTGTGGCGCCTTTTCTCTTGGATAGCTTCGTTTCCTTAACGCACCTGACCCATACATATATATATATATATATATATATATATATACAGGTTCTTGTTGACCAACCTTTTTGTCTAAGGCATTTTCTAGCGTTTACATTAAAACCCCACAAATTCCACCAAACGGGAAATAGCATATTTTCAGAATAGAGAATTGGCTTAATTCTGAAGTACCTCCTGGAGTTATCTATTTCCTTCGCTGTTTCACATCGACGTAGACACGCCACTGCTCGCAATAGTAACGATTCCGTGTAGAACATATCATTGTGATCGCGTATTGCCGAGTGAGATATTGAAAAAAGGATAAGAAGCCATACTTTTCCATGTTTTTCGTTCACTTTAGCCGGCATCTAGGCTCTAAATTTTTTGAAAATCTAAAAGACCCTTTTGTTTTTGAAAGCGAAAAACTCCAACGTTTTTCTATCTTATGGAAAAGTTTTGTAAAGAAACGTCACTTAATGTTGTCATCGTAATAATAGATGCATCGAACAGCAACAGCATGTAAGGGTTACTGAAGCTTAAATATTATAGAATATTTCAGCTCGACATAGGAACTACCTAATGCATATAAATCGTCTGCTAAATTACGGCGAAATGCGTTTTGCTAGGCTCTGTCGAGAGACCTCTTAGCCTCTCAGAAAATAAGGACTCATTAATGTCCATATTAGTAGTGCCACAATCGCCGAAACAGCTTTGTGCATGGTTAATAAACGCATGCATAACTCAATTACGCTGTTTTCTATGAAGTTGCTTAGGAAAACATAAACAAACAACCTAATTCTCTCAATCGAAATATATTATCATTACACACCTTCTGCTGATCACTAGGACAATACCATTCGAGTATAATATAAACCTATGGAACAAGGCAGCTAAGTGGCATACGCAATTACGCGTGCTAATTAAGATGCGTTTTAGAAGTTAGGGTTGTACAGTTCTGTTTCTCGTGCCTAAAACGCCCCTGTAAGCTTATTGCCATATCGAGTATCTTATCCTATAGTTTGCCGGTCGCTTACTACTGTTTACCTCCTATACTACATACTGCTAAACCTACTATATACATACTGCTAAAATTAAGTATATGCTATTTCGTCTAATGTGAATCGTCCCCCCGTGCAGCGGCCACTTGAAGCTAACTTTTTCTGAAGTACGTTAGATATAACAAATTAGATGGATATTTTTCATCAAGAGTAGTTAAACATTTCCGTTTACATCAGTAACGAAGAAGTGAATACTTATACGAATGCAGAAGTTTGCATCAAGCATTAAGCTGTATCCATTGTTTTCCAGAGCAGAGCAGAACGAAGAATGTCCACGCCCAATATCCAGCTGCATATTTCTAGGTTTAGTAAACACCATGACAGGTATAAAGACGTGAACATCTGTACCGGAATATGTTATCCTCTATTCTATCTAAATATATCTAATGAAGTAAACAAAAACAAATAGGACGTCAAGGCCCACCTTCAAAATGTTTACTTTATTAAGCTGTATTCTCATCAAGGCTATAGCGTCGGTAGCTGTACGATCCCGACAAATGACGTGAAAACCTTTGTTCATACTGGATCCTGTCAAAAGCAACTAGATTTTATGCCAATTTAATTTACAGCATAGTGAGCCGTCCGATGCTGAAAATGATGATAAAATCTGTGTTCAGATTTTGTCGTTGCATCAGGACCATATGATAAATTAATCAATGGCTGGACAAACGCGAAGCAAAACGCAAGGGCCCGTGTGCATAAATAGTATAAAGTATTTGGCCTCTCATATGAGAATACCCAAGTAGCACTTAGCAACGAATTATCATATCTCCTGCTGGCAACAGTAATTTTCAGAATAAATAGTATTCTTGGTCTGACCCATGAGATTCAGGTATAAGCTATCACCAGCCGTGCTTCACTTTAATTACAATTGATATATTGTGCTGTTTTCAGTTTGTGGAATCTTCAAGCACTATTGTTGCACCAAGCATCTCTAGTGTGCATGCAAAATGCATTTGGCATCCATCTTGAACGTCAAGCAAGGACACTATCAAAACAAAGTGTGACATACAGAGGGGATAAACCCGCTGCAAAGTCGTAATTGTTCTTGGGCTAAGCTATCGAAAAGCCTTTCATGCTCTTGTCCAATCGACCTTGATAAGGGCGGACGTAAAACGCACTGTCAGAAGACTAGAACCTCGATACAAGCTCACCACAAAGAAATTAACTTCAGCATTTTACTTGCTGAAAAGCAAGGGCGCCGTATTTAGTCCCACGACAAGCAGTTTTCAGTGGAGGAGGAGGACCCTAAGTGTAGTTCCAGTGCTCTTTTGAGTAAGGGAGCTTTGCCACTATTTCACTGTCCAAAGTTCTTCGCTGTAAAATCTTCTCAAATGACGCGGGTCGTTAGTTACAAAGTGAACGTGGTTGCTTGGCACAAGCTCTTAGGAGATTTGGTCGCCGTGCGGCTATCACTGCCTTTTTGCATTTTTCGGTGGCGTGCGTAGGAGAACTTCTATCATCTGCGGGGCTCGGCAACGCCATGTCTTGAAATCGATTTTCATAGGCAAGAGGCTACCTGACGAGGTATAAAATGCCAATCGCCGTTGTCTTGTCCCTCTTTCTAATATTCGTGTCCTCCGTTTTGGTTAGGTAAATGGTCAGTCCCAAATCTGTGACTGCTGCGTGAAACCAGACTAGAGCTTGCTGTACTTGGAACCTCTTCGACCAGTATGCGACAAGGTCGTCTGCATACAAGATGATTTCGACTGATTGCCTTGGTTCTTTTATTTAGAATCTTCAATAAAATAAAGAATAAAAACGGTCTTAAGTTGCTGCTTAAGGGCGAGAGTTCGGCTCCTCATCCGTCATCGACAGTTATTCTGTTCCCCTACAGATCGCAGCAAGAAGGCATAAAGACACACACTTTGACTAGCGTGAGCATAAGCTTGTTCGTGGACGTTGATTAGAAGGCTGCCCTGAAATCAACGAACACCGCATACAGCGAGTTGCGTGAGGTGGCCAGTGCTTTCTGGACGCTGCAAACAGGATCCTGTATGCCGTTGCTATAGAGCTTTCCCTCCAAAACCCATGTTGCTTTGTTGGGATGGCGTGTACGCTCTTTTAGTAACTGTTCAATAAATTAGCAAGTCCGTAAGCAGCTTATAACAAACATTTTTCTTTACTGTTCCTACGTCACTAGGTTACCCTTCCATTTTGTATATCGCGAACAGAATACAGTGTCTCCACTGGGCTGGAAGTGTATCAACACGTAAACATTTATGAAATAATGCCGTCAAACATGGCACCACAAAGACTGCGCATTTTGTATGCTCATTGTAGGCTATAGTTAGACTGGTGACAATCGCGTTGTATTAAGATTTATTCTTCTCATGCTGCGGCAAGGAAAGGGCGCTGCGCATGGTATCGTATTTTTTGACGCAAACATGTCCGAGCAATGATTTATGGGCGCCATCCGAGAGGCCAATTGGGGCAGCCACCGAAATTTTTATCCACATGTATAATTGACATTATTTATCGGCGGGCGAACGGGTCTCCAGTTATTCAAAGTATTGCTGCTTCTGTGAAGTATATGTTTTTAGGCATATCGCCTTACTAACGGACGCTTAAAGGATCGAACTGTACCTTGTCCATAGATTATAATGCCGGCTACGCTCTTCGGGTGAATCTACAGGTGCAGCCGAACCACGGCCTATGCTTCCACCGTGGGATGAAAAGGCTGTATTGCAGATGCTACAGATACTACGCACAAATCTGTGTATTAATTTAGACTTCAAGAGCATATCCAAAAAAACGTGCTAGCAATTTGTAACGGTGAGTACGGAAGACTGTTATCAATTGTATTCGGAAAGCCGTTACGTCTCTCTGTAGTATTTGATAAACTTTTCAAAATTTAGCAGAAACCTACAAAAAAAAAAAGAGATTTCGATAGTTCTAGCCGTCAGATGGAATAGGCACCTAAAAATTCTTAAGAGATTTGATAAGCTCTAAATAAAAATAAAAGAGTTGCAAGCGGAAACCTTTAAGTTCCTGAGAGAGGCTGCTGATACGAGAGGCTATAGCGGTCCACAGATGTTATGTATAATTTGGTTCATTTTATCGAAGAATGCGCTTGAGACCTTCTCTAGAAGATTTTGCCTAAGCATCTTAAGGGCAGCATCTTAAAGACGACGAGAATATCAGACAGGCAATTATACTACCTGCAAAGCTCTTTATGACTGCGTCTGATCAACTATAGTCATAGTTGTATCAATTTGGGCTTCTTAAACCCTGTTTGTCGAAGGGTCATAGAAACTCAGATTAATATGACAACAGCCGCAGTCGCCATGTACTTCATCAGAGTAGATTGTGAAGTTATATCCTGCGTAAGGATAATGACCTGCGCAACTTAACCTAGAAATTCTTCTCTAAAAAATCCTTTAATCATGCTCCAAACTGAAAATTAAACTTTGCAGGCAAGTATACGTAATTGTTTTTCATTCAAATTTGACCAGTTCAGATTATAGATTCTGCGTGGAAATGTCGTAAAGCTTCGCAAATCATAGGAGTTGAATTGAGTTAAATATGTTTTTGCTCAATTATATGAGAATTTCGTTTAATAAATTGTAAATACTATATTAGACAAAATTGTATTTTGTTTAGATAAAAATTTTCTAGAAATAACATCACAGAAGGTTTGTTTTCTGTGTATATACACAATGTATCCTGGAATTTCGGTAAAAACCACCTAAATAAATTTTTTCGAGTTTTACGTCTGATCCAATCGTTAAGCATTGCTCCAGAAGTCTAGTTTTTTGAAGCATGGAACGAAGCAATACAAGGACACATTTTACTTTTTTTGGAACACAGCAATTATGACAATAGCGTCGAAATTAAGACAAAAAATCACTTAAAAAAAGTATCCATATATATACTAAAATATTTTTGCTATATATAATATTTTCGGTAACTGTTGGAGCTCGCGTTTTCGCTATATGTTAAAATAAAGCTATATCGTAAAAAAAACTACGTAGTCTAGCAGTTAGGATACCAGAAAAATAAGCTGGTATTTACCATCCCGTAGAAATAGTAGAACAGATGAATGACATTCATGGTAGTTATCTAGATACAATATATCCACATAAAGCGTACCAGATATACAATATACAATGTAAAGATAATATAACATTTTTTCAGGACTTGTTTATACCTTATTATTATTATTATTAAAGCAAATCTTTTTTTTTTGTTATTTTTAACTGTGCTTTATCGCTATTCTCTTTGAAGATACTGCACCAACAATTTTATATAATTAATAGATTAAATTTTTTAATCCAGATTATATGCATTGAATACTGAAGCTTTCAAGTCAAAAGGGTAAACGTTTGCAATAAATATACAAACACGTGGAGACTAACGGTATTTACTTGCTCTGTTATGTAAAGTAGTATGTTGCATCGGTGATATATATATATATATATGTATAGTTCCATTCATTTTTACAAGTAAGCTTCTTCAACAATGGCGCAATTGTCTCTTTGCGGATACAGTAATTGCTAACAGAGACAATATTATCTGCTAGAGAAATAAGAGTCACTATTTGGTTTAGGATTTTTGTTTTCCTTCTTACATTATATTGTATTTAAACCGCTATTTTGTAATTCTCATTTAACATTTGTATATAACTTAGTATTTACGCAGCAGACATTATGTATAGCTCATTTGTCGTACCCTACGGCCTATCCTTAATATTCAGGGGTCGTGTGGAGACAGTTCCCTTTCTACTTGATTTACGCTTCTGGACCCTGTAAATAATACAAAAAGCAGCATTATAAATATAATTACTTAACAAAAAAATACATTTTGATTGTACAATTATTTAGAGAATGCACGTAAAGAGTGGTAGAAGATAGTGTACTCTCGTGGTATCCATGTGTTGACAATAAACAGTAATCTATTCGGAATTTGAGTAAAGACCGGCTATTAGTAAATTTTTTCACAGACCGAATTTTTTCGAAAATGAAAAACTTCAAACCCTACTACTAAATAATGCGAGAAAAACTTTAATGCGATGAACCAGAAAGTTTATGATAGGGTTTAGACTTAAAGGGCGCCAAAATTGACGACATATCTATAATCATAATAATAATAATAGCATATGTACCATTCTTTCCAACCGGGAGGCGGTTGCCAGCCTGGAGGGGGCTGCCATCCCTGAGGAGGTACCCAGCCCCGAGGTGGGAGCCAATGTTTACCACTATCAGCACCCTCGATAGTTGATTCCGTTTTCCAGCCTCCGTTTCCGTTCTCCCAGCCACCGCCTAAAGAAAATATAAAAAAAGGTCAATATTGCGTGGCCTTTTAAAGTGTTGATTATTTACCAAGGAAATATTTGTCGATATTCCAATAAGCCTTTCTATATAGTTCGTCTAACACGTAATACTCAACACATTGTAGCACTTGCCGAATATATAGACTGCGAAAATTATTTATCCTATTGTTAAACGTATTGAACGCTAATTTGAAATCAAAAGACTTTTCGGAGGAATTGAGGTCACCAGTCGAGTAAGGATTAATAATATTGTATATGTATGTAAGATATGCCATATAACAAAACCTCATATAAAATTCTCGAACGCTTAATTATGACGCACCGAAGTATCGTACTGCAAATCTCATTTGCCGGCTGAGAGTGTGTTATGCAGCTGCTTAAATCACCATTTAAACAAACTAAGGGACCATGATACTGATACATATTAACTGGAGGATTTGGTTTCTTCTCAAATGTAAACGTCACGAGAGAACGATTCAAAGTAACAAACAGCCTTACATTTACATACAGAAATTATAAAATAGAATTTATGCATTGTTTAGATGTAGCCTAGCTTGGAAGTTGGAGCATGGTACTGTCGCTCTCAGTTTAGAAACGGACAGATCTTAAAATCGCATTGAAAAAACGCGATGTGCTATGTCCGTTGCTAAAGGCTAAAAACCTGTTACGAACCGTAATTGATGATTTACACTATACCATTATGTCAATCATCAGAAGTGTTAAACTATGAGTCCTAGATGGTAGGTATCGTACAAAAATAGAGAGAAGCTTAGCCTATGTTGTGGTCTGCTTGGAAGAGCAGATTTGTTACCGTTCGACAATGCCTGCCTTCAGCTGTATACCCAAACATCTACGATAGCTGTTCCGTGCTCAGTCCTCTTGAGCAGAGCTGTTTAGCGGTCTGACGTTAAAGATCTTTTTAGGCTGAAATCTTATCTGGTGTGAATTCAAGTTACTTGGACAACTATATTTGGCTTTTCCTCCAGTGCTCTTTCCTGTGGAGTCCGGAAAGAGGCATTTAACCATTGAATATCGACTCCAGCTAAGATAAAACCTTGTCTTTGGCCCGATTTATTTTCTCCTCGCGTAATTCACGGACCCGTCTACCTTGATTCGCAACCTCCATTGTTACCCATTAAGGAGTAGTCTGGCCACGACCACAATTCTCGAGGAAAACGCAGCATAAAATGTTTGCAACGAAGGAGGTTTGCATCTAAAGCGAGACCCATTTCGATAGAATTGAGATCGACTAGCCAGAACTAAGCGAAAAACATACGTGGAAGCTATTTAAAAACGGACTTAATGGGTTCAAGAGTCCGGGGGACGACGACGACGACGACGACACATTGGAAAAACTCAGTTTATTAAATACCAGATTTTCACCAGAGAATTGCCTGCTAATCTGACATCTCGAAAGTCTCGACAAATTGTTTGTTTAGTTGAAAAGAATGACTGCAGTGGGATACTATTTTGTATATGATCACTAGCTACGCTTTATGCGCTGATCTAATTTTGCGTTTCAGATTAATCGACAGTACTATTTATTAATAGAGTAGATGCAGAAGTGACCGCTAAATTAGATTAGATGCAATGAAATGAAGGTATAAAGACTGAAAGACGGCAATTGCCTACCGGTCGAATGTGTTGCCGACGACGATGTTGTCGTGGCATACGTTGGCGTTTCCTTCGTCTGCCAACCTTTTTCACTCCAAATCTTCTCTCGATCCTCTGCATTGGCAGGCCACTGATGGTGCGCTCCGCTACCCGAATCTTTTACTGTTCCACCGTGAACTTTTCCTACAAGATCGTGAGGAGCGTGCTTAGCTGCAGAGTTCACGCCGTGGCAGTCATGGCCCCGAGCAAGCGTACCGCAGAAGTATACCCAGACATACATTTTCCCATCCGCAGTGGCAGGTCAGCGTGGTCATAGGTAACGAAATTAAATTGACACGTGACGGATGGACGTCGGAGAAATCATCCAATGAACAACTCTCAAAGAACGGCATGCACGTGCATAGTAAAACTGGTGGACGCCAGTTATGATTGTTACAGAGTAGTGTCTACTAGCACAAGCGTAGTACTAACCCTAGTGTGAATAATCCACTAAATGATGCTAGCCGTGTGTCCTCATTCAACGAATGCTCACAGCTCAAACATGTGTTTAAATTGCATTGTACAGCACAAACGCTGGCGCTTTGAGGTATTAAACGATACACATTGCACCTTTCGACAGTGGTTACGATCATCAAAAGTCCTACACTTGGAAGAAGATCTTATTCTATAACTCTTCGATTTTTACTTAAATGACGTCCTCAACTTCATTTTAGATTGAGAATAGTAAGCAATAAGATAAAATTCTCAAATCGAAGTTATACTTATCAAATGTATCTATCTTGATGAATACTTTTTTTCTGAAAGTATAATACAAACGTAAGTAAAACTAGGCGTAAAATTCTAAAACATCGATAATAATATAATCAAACAATTTATGTTACTAACCAAATAAAAGTATCACACTTTTTTGATGTGACCACGAAACGATATCGGCATAAAGTTCCATGTTTAAAATTCGAATTGTAGTTAACACGTACCCTCACCGTAATATCCACCTTGCGTTTCTGGAACAGCTTCCTCCCATCCTTTAGGAGGGCTGTCTACGAGCTCCTTTTTGTGGACATGTATATGTTTCACGACCTTTACTTCCTTAACAACCGGTATTTCTTTGTAGACGGGAACCGTTTTGTAGACCTTGACTGTCTTGTAGACGGGTATCTCTTTTACAACATGTTTAACCTTGATTACTGGCTTTATCCTGTAACGAAACGCCAAAGATTGTACTTGGAGCAACTGGCTCGTATTCGATTAAAGGGCTTCTATAAGATGCTGCAATAGTGATTGATTGGTCCTGGATTGCGTGTGGCTATCAAGTCCAAGCTCTAGGTTAAATAGCTCTATCGGAAATGAGAGCACTTTTAATTAAGACCTACGAGAATCGAAATGGGCTTTTGCATAATGATTCCAATAAGCCCTTACGCACTTGCACTTGAACACATCGTAGAGAATGAAGATGTTATGGTTTGCGTTATGAGGCGCTTAGACAATCAAACCTCAAACTATATCGCACTAAATTTAACCTAACGTAACATCTGCTATAAGCAAAGGCTCCCGCTAGGCAGTGGTGGCTCACATAGAAGGAGACCTGTCTGCATCTGCCAATGGAATAAACGTTCAATTCAACAAGTTCAATAACTAAACAATTAGATAAATTCAACGGCGAACCGGCACGTTACCTTATTCCATAAACATAAATAACTTTAGGTATACATATAGATATATATATATATATATATAGGTTGTAAGAATTGGCCTCTGAAGCAGATCGGAAGGAACTAAAATCTAACTTTGCCTGGCCTGACATGCATGAGACAAGTGGATTTCAATCGATTCATTAGCATTGCAGCAGAGCTAGTGGCATCATAGAAAGCTTGTAGGATAGTTGGGTTTTACAAGTTTTTTGTTCATTACGAACCGATCGAAACGTCCCGGTTGGACAGTACGCCGGTACTGTCCTAAATTCAGCGATTATATATGCAGTAGTTAAAGCTACCACACAAAACGCTTCAACCGGCTAGAACGTCTACCCTAGAGATTTAGCGAGGATTTTTCGATCATAGTCCTTTCTAGCTAAGTAATCGATCTTTGCAATATAAAATAGTCATCGCTATTGTGCTATTTCTATCATAATACAATCAGTGTAACAGGTTTGATTTTTTATCATAGGCATTGTTCCTAGCTATTGAGCAAGGTTTCTACTGGAGCATTTTGTACATTTGTATGATATCATAACGAGGAAGATGCACGCAACACTTTTAAAAGCACATCGTCTACGAAACGGCCCGTCCACATACTTATAATGATACAATTATTCAAAAAGGATTCTAGTTTTGTCGTAAGCTGTCCCTTCAACAAAGTTCAAACTTCAATTCAATTCAGATGCACAAATGAATAGAATTCTGCATATCGAGTAGCGTAACTTGACAACGACCTTTGCTAAGATAATCTATAAAAATATTTGTTTTCTAATAAACAAATGTTCGGTAGTAACTCGAGCAAGTACTATAATAAACAAAATCTGTACGCCCACCTATGGAATAGGTGCATAAATACATTGTAATCCTCTCTAACTATCTCAATGCAATAAACAAGCTAATAAACGTTTTATAAGGAGCGTTAAACTCTTTGACACGCCGAACGTTTGTTTAGTACGTAAAGCTGTTCGTAGGATTTCATATAGAAGTGTACGTAATCGTAAAAGTTTGGGTCCCAAAGTGAACCGTGGCAGTTCGCTCATTGAAATTTGCGGCCGCACGCTCCTAATCATAAGGGAACATTATGATTGTCGTTTTTGATTGATCGTCGTTTTTTACGTAGGTGGCCATACTTACTTAATAATAGTTTTTGTTTTCGTCGTTGTCCAGGGCTGCCACTCCGACTCCTCGTGGTCATCATGCCAGCCGTCATCGTAATGCGAAGACCCTGACCATCGTCGAAGAAAGCGGGCAAGTATCTGACCATCGACGCCAGCAATCAACGACGTAGAGCTAACAGTAATAACAAAGACACACACGAACCAGACAAGCGAATGCATCCTGATCTGACCCGTCGCCCAACTTCTATCGATGACCTTCCGTTGATATGTCTGCCAATTTGTGGTACAAATCGCACAAAACATAGACTTCATTTACTGCATAGCTTGCGCTTTATCTAATATAGATAATAAATAGCTTTCTTGAGAAAATATGTATACATGTACGTAGCGTCCCTTACGTTTACACAGTATAAAGTGTTACAGAGTCGAATTATTTCGGTCGATATATTATTAGTCGTTTATTACTACTACTACTACTACTTCAAGAGATAGATCGATGAAAAGTTTGCAGTCGGTTGACAAAACGACATTTCTATTATGACAACCGTTTGTCACGTTTTTCATTTGGCCGGCTCTGGCAGTTGTTATAACCGGTGTTCGCGTGCAAACGGCAGGGAATGAGCCACTATAATTATAAGCGTCTATTTACAAATGGCCGAATGCTCCGAAATAAAACACACATTTTCTGACCCAAACATCTAGATAAAAATAGTTCGTAAACGTGTTTATAAGGCATATAGTAGCACACTATACTTTCTCATAATTTGATAGTTATTGAAAAATTGGTGATTTCGATAAGAAGTACAAATACGACAAAAAAGTACAAGACCTTTTGTGTATAAAAAAAAAAAACAAAAAAAACTGCTAAACCTTGGTTTTCAAAAACGCATTTGTCCCACTGAGAACAGTTGACCTAACAAACTATCGGATAACATAGATTATATCTATTTGTTATTTCATAGACGCGCCTCGATTTTATCGATTTATATTAAAACTTTTAGCTGGCAGTCGAATCTATCAGTTTGGATCCACTAACTTTCGAAATGCGGATGGCAGAAAGACGTTTCTTCAGCCCACAATGCAGGAAACAACCGTTGTGTGGAAGAACAGCCCAGATATTCCTAATTGAACGAATTTGCCGTATGATTCTGTATTGCTTTTAGCATGGTTCGACATATATTTCTTTCGTGGTAATTAATGAAAACAGGCTGAAGATATATGTCGAAAGATTACTTATTTAGCTGCCACGGCTTCTATTAGATCGTTTAAATAATAACAAGAAAAGGGAGATAATTGTCTTCACTGTTAGTGTTTATATATAGCATCCAGCCACTGAATGAGCGTTTGTTAGCGGCAGCTGCAATCTAACGTATAAGCAATTTGTTTCTCAAAAGCGTTACTTTATAGCCACTTAATTTTTGCATATATTGCTTCAGCAATTTGTCAACTGTCTGCCCTGTTTAACTGTGCTATGCAGAGGTCCAGAAGAAGTCCTGAAGGAACTGATGCTTGCAGCTCCGATCCGTTCAATGAAAGCATTACATATGAATTTACCTGCGTTCTTGTCAACTAAAATCGGAAACCGGAGCGTAAAGCCGCTATAATTTCCGGGTCCGGAAACGACTATCGGGCTGAATAGGGACACTGAGGACTTTTCTGTGTGAACACATACGTGTAGTAAAAGTATTTTCCTTGGGTTCGACCAGTGGTTCGTAGTCGCGATACGAAAAACGGCTTTAACTTCTGAAAGAACTTAGAAGTACACAGAAGCCACAGTACTTGAAGCAGTTTTCGTAAATCATAGTTCTGAAACATGTAGCAAAGCGCAAGAGGAGAATGCTGCTGAGATGATAGTGATGTACGAAGCTGCGCAGGAAAACTAGTAACCGCAGCAGAAGAATCCGATGAGGTGACAGATCGTTCAGAGAAATCACAATTGCTTAATAACAGCAACTGACCGAAAGCTATTTATGGAACTATTATTAGCGGAGAGAACTATGCTTGTTTGCTCGTGGTTTGGAGCCGTCACCTGTTCAATGCTGTCATTCAGCAGTCACTAGACCGTCAGTGGCAGGTTTGACATTTGTTCCTATATGTGGTCAGCGTTTGTGTTGATCGATAGCAGTCAATCTTTTGGCATTTCAATGACTAGGTTGAAAACCCAGTCGCGTATCATCAGCAATTTCTGGTCAGTACCCATTTTAGTGCCAAGGCGATTTGACTGAATGCTGGCAATTACCTACAGCTTGGACCTTACAGCATGTATTATATACTCACAATTGGTTCAGGGTTCACTTCGGCAACACATGCATTCTACACAATTTACATATAAATAAATGATTTACGCCTTCTCATTTTTTATTGTAAGTAGAAAGGTCTATAGGAGGTCTAAAGGAAATTATACAATGTTAGAGTGCTTGGTCTATGGTATAATTGCTCTAGCCAGTATTTTCACATGAAGGACATAGGAAAAATAATGATTCAGCAGTTTAACTATACCCAAGGTCTAACAAACGCGTACATAAAAAAAATCAATAACGTACGTTTAACTAAAAAAATGACTTATCTAAATATCATAGAATATTGTTTGATAAAACGTCGTCTGTTTACTGCAACGAAAGCAGGATTCCGCCATCCATTAGACGTGGATTGTATTGAAAGTGCTCGTTGCCGACTTCGCTTGATCTGGTATTTTAATTGTCGGATTAGATAGCCAGAAACACACGCTGGATAAGGAAGATATATACCAATCATTACGTATCACCTCCTGCTTCAAAGGCATCGCGAACTTTTATGCTGGACGCCACATGAGGGTCAGAAACTCAATGCCAAACGCAATACAAGTATTTTCGTCGGAGAGGGAATCTGGTGGTTCGAACCGCACGCAACAGAATATCATCGCTTGAAGACTAAATAAATGAAGGCCAACGCGTACTTAGTAAAAATAAAACAAATTGGATGAAGTTCGTCGTGCTGATGCTTCATCATGCAAATAAAAGCTATTCATAAAAAAACTATCGAGATATTAAATTGTAGTGAACTCCTGAACCTGTAGGAGATGTTGGCAAGTTGTCTTTCAAACCTGAACATTCGTCTTTTCACTATGGAAAACATAAACAAATTGGATACGTTTCTAGCCAAGTATGAAAATATAACCAATGCCTTATTATCGACCATTTAGGCTAACGTTGGCATCTCCGCCGGTAATTCCGCTCGATGTCTGAGTAGCAAATATACTAACAAAACAGTTTTGTTCATAAAAATAACAAAATACAATTTTTGGAGTACAAAAAAGTACAAAAAACACTTATATAGTCAATAGCATGTACAAAATTCGGTCAAAAGAGTTAAAACGGCGGACTTTACAGCTCTTTTCAACAGATAATCATATCGTGGCCATCGGGGCGATGGCTGTGAAAAAATAATAACAAATATACTGAAGGACTAAATGCCACACCTTAACTAAGTATGGCTGTAACATTTTTGACGTGTATTACATACAGTGGTAATTAATTCGTATGTAGGTGTTCTCTTACTGCGATTTTATACGGCTTACATCAGAACAATTGCGTTTAGGTACTAAGTAAGGTAATCAGTTTTTCCAAATGTTCCTACAACAATGAAATATTACTCTGCCTCCGCCTATTTTTTAGTCGTTTAAACTGGCACAGCCAGTCTGTCGTCACATCAGCTTTACTGACGGAAGACAGTTTCAAAAGCCTGACAGCTGCTAGACCAAAAAAACAAAGCGTTTTCATATTTTGTATGAAAACAGATATTTTATATACTCTCGTAGAAAATTTCACGAACGATCAAATCTGTGATCGCCGTTAGATATTTTCGATTCATCCGTGTATAGTGCTACACCAACAAGCGAATACTGCGAAGTGTCCCAGCAGAGATAATGCGTTTCGGTAGTTATTGGCTGTAATTATTCAACCAGTAGACTGGAGACAGGTGTACACCGAACTAACAAAACCCTCTGTCGATAGAAGATTTCGATTTTCTTCAGAACCCCTGTGTTACCCTTAGCAGCCAGGTTTGACATAGTTTATATAGTTTTAGTCACGCGCTTTCATTGGCTTATCTTAGTATATAGTTTCATAGTCGGATCATTCGGGCCACGAAAAACCCATTCTCAAAGATATGCGGATTGAAGCTTGAGGGACCAGATAGCAAGCAACGAAATTACCGCTCTATTATCTCGAGTGCAAATCTGCGTTCCGTTTCCCGCAGGAAAGACCCTCTAGGCCAAACTTCGTCCTAAGTGGCCTTACCGACACACTTCACATACATTGTGTTCAATAATTCGTTTGTTTGTTTTTTTTTTTTGTTTTAAAGGTGGAGCCTGTCTGTGCAGAGCTAGGCGTAGTTTCTAATAATAAACAAATATACAACATTATCAGTTTAATTGAGCTAAGAAAAACTCAGAGGTGAAATATTTTGAACTTATTTATGCTGAGGGGGTTTTATCTTTATTACGAAAAGCAAAACAGAGATAATAACATGCGTTTGTAGCCCTAACTCTAAACATAATTGAAAAAATAAATGCCATTTGACATAACGTCTGTTGTTTATAGTGACAACTAAGAAAGCTGCGGTAACTTACTAGTCTGTCTTAGGCTAAAGTCAGTATCCGGTTATGAGAGTTTAGTGCAGGTCAAGTTTATGATTAGTATTTTATAACTTCTAATAGATTCCCTACTGTCTATAGTAGGGAATTGTGTTTGGTTTCAAAAACCAAAGAAAAAGAGATAAATCGTAGTCTACGTATAGCTTGATAACATGCATTATTTGGCGTCGTGAATTTTCTACTTTTCTAGAAGATCAATAATTAACTAAAACGTGAAGCCACTGCTAACTTAACAAAATGCATTTTAGTTCCTTGCAGGATAACTTGCAATCAGATAAGCATCCAAAACCGTAAGTCCAGACACGTGCAAAAAGTGGTCTTCCGTACGTGACGATTCGCTTTTTAAGTTAAAAGGCAAGAATAACTTGCAACTCTTCCTTGTCTAGAACGAAATATTCCTTCGGTCTATGGCTGTTTTTTTGGACGAATCAAGTAGTGTGGACAGATAACAGCAGCATTTTCAGGAGTTTTCGTTCAGACTTCAGAGGACACGTATCCTACAGAAAATGTAACGTTATGTTAATCAACAACGATTTGAACGGGTAACACCATTTGTTATTTGAACTAGAAAGACCTTTTTTTTTTTTTTTTTCGGTAGTACGTCGAGTATGACAGTTTTACATGAACTGAGCCGCAGCCTATATCCGAAAACTTGTGGAGCTAAAAATAGGGTTGTTAATTTAGGTTATCGCATAATTATGTTTTACATTTTAGAAGACTCTCTCTCTCTCTCTATCTCTCTATCTCTCTCCATGCACGTGTACGCAATTCATGCCCTGTCGACGGTTTCGAAATCAGCGTCAAAACGTTGGGAACCTTTACCGGAGACGAGCTTACTTTAACCTTTAAACCGAAAACCTCACGCTCTGGAAAATACATTTTTTTATTGTTTATTAAAAATGATTTTAGCAACTTTGCAGCTGATGTCGTTTTATGCAGTAGATCAGGATATGTACCGCATCGAGCGATATATGCGCGCCATATTGTATGGTATTGTATGGTTTATTGCCTCTCAACGTGTTTGTGGGATGGTTAGAAAATAATACGTGGAACTGAACCAGCGACGAGAGCAAGTCGCATGAAGAGAGAACACTCGTCGTACGTGAAACACGTACGTAAAACGTTAACGTGCGTCTTTTCTATTCGGACCGTCGCTCCTACTATGAACTAAAGTATAGAGATCTAAATAATCGAAAATAGTGTTGCACTCATGTTGAATCTGGGTGAATCAATGTGACTTCAACCATTAGCTAGCCGCAGTGAAGTAATTAAATAAAAAGCACTTACATGTTTACCTTGTTGACTGAATCGTGTCACTTTCAGATATTCAGTCTGCGTCACCAGCGTATCAACGAAGTATCACAAACGGGAACAGGTTCCATTGCGCAAATGATTCCCTTAAAGCGTCATATAGTATATATATATATATATGTATGTTATCGATGCACTTGGTTGATCGAGTTCAATTTAGCTCAAGCAAAATCTTTCCTAAAAATATCTACATTTACAACAATGCAATAATCTTTATTATTGAAATGAAGCCATCTTCAATCGCTCTATTTACTATCGTGGCGTTGATCACGATTAGTAATTCTTCTTCTATTAAATCTTCTAGATACCGTCATTGCATATTACAGAAAACTAAAAACTTCTATCGATGAGTGTTATTTATCCACTTTCCATTAAGTAAATTGATTTTTCCCTATATCGTCTATAATTGTTTAGTCGTATTGAAACATGCTAACACTTAAGCGCTTCAGAAAATGGGAATCTGAAGATATCTAAGTGGATAAACGAAACTATACTATTGCGAATGGTTTCGTAAACTGGCAACAATAATTAGGAAAACGGCTGAAAGCTTCTATTGAAGATCTAACACTTAGAATTGTATCGTGCAAACACACGAGGACACGATTTCGACTTCAATTCACCTCAAAGGACAAATGATTTAATCTTGCTTAATAGTTCACATGCGCTCAACTCGATGAAGATGATTAATTATTAAATATATAAGCCATGCTTATTCCTAACGTATCACGTAGACTATATTCGAAGGGTACAGACAGAAGCAAAGCTATGTTCTCCGTTTTACAATTTTTCATCATTACCAAATAATAACTTTTGGCTTAGAATAAAAGTTTGACAAACACCGGTTGACAATCTATGGCTAGTGACCTTTTGCGCTTTTCCCCAACCGAAATATGTGTCGCTGAGGAAAGCTGCCCCGTACCTTTGACTCAAACGTAATCAGCATTGAACTCTGAACCCATCGACCGTATACGGTCACAGAAATTTCCCTAAATTATAGACTAGTTTAGATTACAGACAATCTCAATACAGTAAAATTCGGGCAAACGTAGTCGTCATATAACGGGCCGGGTCAAGATTATGAACCGGGTTACGTCTGTATGGTACTGCAGTACCCTAAGAGGTCACTGATATGATCTGTCTGGAACTCACATGGCAGCTGTAAAACTATATCGAGTTTGATATAGGTTCTTAATATATCACATTTACATTCACTCATTGTCAGGTTGCTCGATTTATATTCATGGCGAGAATTATTGGCTGATTAGTGTGATCACTGCCAAAGCAATGGGACCATCGTGCAGCCCATTAGAATTTAAAATTTATCAAAGCTATCTAAAATCAGTAATAGAGTAATCTAAAAGCTGTTGGAAATCAGGAGACTAAACAATATTTCCGAGTCGTAACAGCTCCCCCGTCTGGAAACCCCTTAGTACCCATATCAACTGCTTGCAAAACTCTTACCTTCTTCAAGTAGACTAAGATTTTACGACTGTCACCTCATCTGAAAGCGCCAGGATGTTCTGTTGCGGCTATCAGCAGTTCACACAACTGTATAGCATATACACGTTTATATCAAAGAGTATCTAAGCTCACGAACAATGAGGAAACATGTTCACCCGCATTTTTAAGGTAGACCCTGTTGTTAGAATACTCTGTCAACGTTTACTCAAAACGTGACGCCTCCCCAGATGGTTGGGAGTCTGATCTCTGCCTTTATGCATAGCCGTCAGAAAAAGGAGTTGGGAAGCACAAGAGATGATTAAACTGGATGTCGTTTTGCACCTACCTGCCGCGTTGGTTGAGGGTAATATTGGACAAGATGGACACGTCAGCTGCAAGTTATTGGTCAGCAGTTGGTAACTAGTAGGTAGTCAGATCGGTTGGTAAGTTAGCGTGGCTGATACCAGTGTTTCGCAATAGATCCGCGCGACACAGCTTCGCTTGTCAGCTTCAACAATGAACAAAGGAACACGCCAGAAGGTAATGACCACCCCAGCGGCACTGCTAGACGCCAACGATGTTGCAGTTTCTGTAGGGTACCGTTGATAGCGGCGAGGGTAAGGCGTGCTGCACGGAGGCCAAGGACAATGAACTGTTACTGCTGATTTGACCGTTTAGATGGACGGTTGTTGTCGCGCGCATCATCAAGTGTAACATTGATTAAATACAGAAAATGATTATAACGCATATGTAGCATAAACAATACATACGACGAACATCTGAGCGAAATCAGATAAGTCTACATTTATATCTAAGAGAAACGAGCAGAAGCGTTCGACCTGAACTGAGACTGCATTTAGCTTTGTAGATTCCTATGGAATTGAACTCTTTTGTGTGGAACATCAGGGTATCTAATGCATATTTTTCGTATGCTCTATATCTTTTCATCTGTTATATTTCAAATGCCATGAAATTTCCAGCTGCAAGCCATTTTTCCATCAAACTATTACAATCAGGTTTCATATTGTACTGTTATGAATAACTTTAGTAAATAAATAAAATGAAAAAAGAACTTTCTCTTTCTGTGCAAAAATATTTGTTTTTCAACTTGTCGAAAACCAATAGTTTTTTTTCAAGTCAAAGAATTAAAAATTACATGCGACGTTGTTTCCCAGCCGTATGTGGCTGAAGCGCGAAACTTTCATTGATAAAAAAAGTCTCACCAAGGACCGTTTTCAGGCGACAAATGCTGCATGCGATGCCTATGCTGGAAAAACCGGTGCGGGTAGCAGAGATACAAGTCAAACACATTCAATGCTATTCTTCGACGCTATTTTCTATCGGGCAATATATTGTTATTTCTCATACTGCCCATTCGGTATGTTGATTTCTTACACGGAAAATGGCTGCCGAAAGGGCAAGGGCGAGACTGCAACGGGGCTCCTAGTAAAGAAAGTGAAAGAACATACGTTCTACCAGCGCTGCTCCTGGCGTGTTTACCGATAGATTATAACAGAATCAGCAATCGGTATATATTTGTACACGTTTTGTTCGCGTAGTTGTCTTTTTTAGCGCAGCTACAGATTATCTAACGATAATTTCCCTCGTGTATGCGCACAGGATTTGCCGGACCGGTGTAAAGAAAGCAGACGAGCCAGTAAGAAAATGGCTTGGCAAGTCAACACAACAACGACACACAGTCGTTTCTGTCCCTGCTCGACATTTATCTAACTTAAGTGAAATTTTTCCTTGGCCGATGCTCGACTTGGAGCGCCTTATAGCTTTCCAGCTTTGAAATCTTTCGGACTTTACTACCCGAGAAGATATCAAATGCACGCTCGGCACTGCAGCGGCTGCAGCTTCACAACCAGCACAGTTGTTGTCAAGATAATGTTCTGCACGGTTGAGTAAATTTCATTTGAAAACACCGAGGTACAACTGCGCAGAGTACGCAGATAGAATCTACTGTCTCACATGCTAACGGAGAAACGGGAAAATTAAATAGGCGTCGGTACGGTGATGATTCATGGCGAACGAAATAACGAAAATATCATTATCAAGAATAACAGGAAAGCATACGAACTAAAACGAAACAAACTCACACTTAAGCGTAACATTTCCGTTCGTGGAAATTTTGACCGTCCGATCGACTTGATTCTCCTTTTCTATACTAAAGGTTATCTTAAACAGAACGTCGAAAGGGCAGATATCTACTTTCTAAAAATCTAATTTTTTGGAGGAATAGCGCTTCCGAGAAACAATTTCCTTTCCTGCTCTATCTAAGGTTTGTGGATTAAGCTTAACATCTAAAGCGATGCCACGGTACCGGACGTGTAGCATTCATCGATCTTACACAGCTGAACTGGGAATAATTTTTGTCTAAAAGGAAATCACATTCTACATATGTGTAGATGTATATGTTGCGCAGTAGTTCAGACATAGCTATAGAATGTGTTTAAAAAAGGCACTGAACCAGATGTTTATACGGAATGACATTCTACGCGTTCGTGTAAAACACAACCCTAACTTTAGAAGTTGTCTTTGTTCGTACATTTTAAGCAACACCAACGCATACGAACATTAAATCGGAACCAGTTTTATGAGGAGGAACTTAGGTTGACGTGGAAACAAATTACGCCTTAGCCGTAAATCGGGTTCATTTTGCTTACTTAGTTGACATGTGCAGTAGGAGTCGGATTATAATAATATTGACTATGAGGTCGTTTTAACAAAATACCGGATCAAAATGAGAGAAATTTATCTAAGGTGTCAGATCTACAAAGGCTATCTTACTTCACCCCTCAGGGTCTCTAAAAGTTTGCAGCTAAAGTTAAAATGATGCACAATAGAGCAGAAATTTTAGTTTACAAGTATTTTATTTATTATTTTTCTCTCTTTCTTCCTTATTTCCCCTCTCTCTCCTTCTTCTTGCCACTCTCTCGCTAACGTTCCTGTCGCGCGTTTCTCTTACGCTCACTCTCTCATTCCTGTAACTCTTTTTCATCATCGTCGTCTGGCTCAATTGTAATTTTGTCTTAATGCTGCGTTGTTGTTGCGGTCGTATTCCTTATCTCATAGCTTTTCCTTCTATATTGGAATTTTTTCCCCTATGTTATTACTGTTAAAATTGTCATCATCATCATCATCGTCGTCATCATCATCATCATCATTACCAGCCTGCTTAATGAAAACTTTTCTTAGCCACTTCGTCTTTATTTTTTTCGATTATTCCCATTTTCAGCTTTCTCTGGTCCCTCATCATCCTCCGGGCCAAGTGTAATAGCAGGTATGAATTATAATATATACATTATAACTTGTCGGCTGGTTCCTAATTATCGTTGTTATCATCAGTTACCAACGACGCAACCGGAACAGATTTATGGCCGCAGGGATGAAATTGGACAGAAAGGGAGCTGATTTCGAGCTAACTCCTGGCTACCTTTTTATGCGAAGTTAGACCGGTAGTAGGAATCGCATTGATACTGATAGGAGTTAAAATAACATTCATTAATGATCCCGAGGGCGGGCACTTTTCATTTAGGGCGGAGAATATTGGTGCGGAAATATAAACTGTGTGCAAAGTAACGATCCGCTGGGTCGACGGGCAAGCAGCGCTGTGCTATATAGGTCACTTTTTCTTGAGACGGTAATCTGCGGCTCTATCTGTTTTGTGACATTCTACACATCCAGCCGTCGGCCGACTTACTTTCGTATCTGTAGTCGGAAATGGTCACACAACAACAATGCGCAGACTTTAGCAAAGTAGTTGACGGCCACCACCTGTCTAATACTCTTCATTGGAGCCCTCAAGGTATCGTGTTTTTATAGTACCGCCATTATCATCACCATTATAGCTCCTATAGAATTTTGTCTCTTCGCATGATTTAGGTAATCGAAGCAATATCAATCATTTTCATCGTCGGCGTCGTAATAATTTATGAATCAATATTATAATACTACTATAAATGTTACAGTTATCGAGTGGTACGCAATAGCAGCCGTAAAGTCACAGACTGAGCGGTATGACTTTTTCAAATGTCTTCCCCGTCCCCAGGTTTCACGCTGAGAACGAGGGGCAATTGAGTGCACACCGAGTACGGGAATTAAATACGTGCCAGAACATTAAGCGTAACGCTTGTGTGCGCGGAGTTAGTGACAAACACCATTTGATGTGTGACATCGAAGAATAGTTGAAGCGACGGTCTTTACCACATACGGCAGTTATTTAACCTTGTGAGAACTCGTAGGAAGTAGGTGCGCGCTAAGCATTAAGGAAAAACTAAATAGGTATGCATGCCCCTTTCTGTTGTTGGGAAAGTGGTGGTGGTTAACTCCACAGTTATCGTTAGGGTAACTCTGATGTATTCCTCACTCCGATTAGATACAAGTGACATGTTACTATAGGCATAGTTTTGATGTAAGCGTTACCACAAGTATTTTGCTTTATTTAATAATTATAGTTATACACTTACTCTATATCTGTTTTGTGACAGTAATAATATGGATTGAAGACCTTGAAACGAACCGTCAGCTCAACCTTAATGTATGTATACATAGCTCTCGCATTACGACATCGTGCCTGTTGAAGTCGTGATACTGTTCAATCAGTCACAGCAAATCAATCAAAATAGCATCGCTTTACCCCATGTTGCCTACGACAAGAAGAGCGTCGTCCGCCTGTTTCGCTGCCCGTTCCCTTTTCCTTTGCCCATACTCGTACTCTTTCTATCGTAAATATATTATCATCACTCTTACAGCTATAATGATATTTATTCGCATCATCCCTTTTATTATAATTGAATTGTTATCATATGGATAGTTCTTAACTTTTCCAACATGGCTCAGTCGTTTAAGCTGCTGAATTTAATGCAAGATTAATGAATAGCTAATATTCAATTCAGTTAAAATAGTCAACAAACAATACATTGTTACGTTAGATACGGTGCCATGTGGTACGGACGCTGAAGACCGGGGCCGCGGACCCCGCCGGGACGTAGGGGCCTAGTCCCGGGGCTTCCTAAATGATTCCCTGTTGACCTCAGTCAGGTTTCCGCAGCGCGGCCTACCTACGCTGATCGGCGATAGTAAATCCACAATCGATGCTCTAGATCTTGAATCATCACCATCGCCGACATCATCATCATCAGCCGCCTGTTATGTTTTCCGTTTCACATTCTACCGATATTTCTCCTTTAGACTACGACTCTTTGGTGAGTCACACGCAACACACGCACAGACACGCTTCCGCACACATTCGTCACAGCAGTAGTTCTTCAAATTACCGCTACTTTTTTCTCGTTAATTTATGCTTATTATCATTATCCGTCATCAATATCGTCGTGTTGACGCTCTTCATTCTTCGTCGTCATCGCTGTACGATCTCTGTCTGTTGTCGCGTGACGACGAGCACAGGCAATACGTATTCATAAGCGTGTGCCTTGACCCCGCATGCTCAGACTGCATAGTGCTCGATAAGCCAACGAGGCATTTTCCTTGAAATTTATTATTTCTGTTTCTTTGTATTTGTTCGTACGTACAAGATGCCTAAATAAGTACGTTTCATCGAAAATAGTTCCGATAAAAGACAAAATAGGTACTTGTTACTGTGTTCGTTTGGCTGTTGTTATTCAGCAGACCAATAGACCGTCGATTTATTCGAAATCCTCAACGCTCGATCAAAGCAATTTGCTTAATTCATTGCTTCATCTGTAAGCAAATAGCTGTTTATGTGCGTGTGTGTTTATACGGCTTCAATTTATAGTACCGTCATCGTTATTACAATCGTCATTGTAATATTTGTGCATGTATTTAGGTATGTGAATCTTTTTCTACCATTTCTGTTGACTTTGTTTACCTTTAAATCGATTGTAGCCTTGTTAGCGCTGGTTGTATCGTTTGAAAACTGGGAAAGGCTTAGATAGTTATCGAAAAGCGAACGAAAACAGGAGGCGGTCATCAACGTCAGTGCGTATACCGTGAAGTTTGGCCTGGCACATTATAAAGGGGAAAACATTTCGTTGTAGATTCGTTGGTGTCACAGGTGGAGTGAAGATAGGTCGGGTCTCTGCGTCAGCCATCTATATTAGCCATTGTATGAGGGTGTGAATGCGTACTATCGCGTATTGTGTACGTTTTCCGTGTTGGCAAAACGATGAAAGCAGAAGCAGAAGCAGCAGCAGCAGCAGCAGCAGCAGCAATAGTAGTACTAGGTACGATACCCCCTATCGGTCGCGCAACGGTGGTACCTCGTTGTCCGCAATTGTTTTTTTGTTCCTTTTCATTGCTGCTGTTGCTGTTCTATTTTTTCCATGTATATATCGGAGTTGTAAGCCGAGTCGTTGCAGTTGTTACGCAGTGATCGAGGAGTTAGTATTGTGATTATTATAAATAGCGGTGCTAGTTTTATAATCACTATAACAATTATGTATATCATTGTTGTTAATTTATATTATAGTACTATAAGTGTTGTTTAGTTTCACCGATTTCATTTGGTCCCATAGAGCCATCGGTATGCCTCAACGACAAAGGGGTAGCATCAACGCCTCTCATCATTTTGGTTACTACGAGAACGTTTGTGCTATATCTCGATCGACAAAAACGATAACGTTCCCTGTCGGTGCTGGCACAATAAGCTGCCCCTTACTTAGTAGTTATTCCTGATCGAGGTCATGTGACGACCTGAAAATCTTCATAGACCAGAGGGTGACCACTTGTATCATACGCGTATACTTTTTTACACCACGAGATCACTGAAAAGGCAGCAGTTGGGTGAGTGGGTGGAGAGTTGAATCTATTAAACCCAACCCTCATATTTTATTAAGGTTCTAATGTTCTGGCTATGTCCGGGAACATAGATGACGAAAAGTCGCATTGCTCGTAATCATCTAGCAAGACTTGGTTCGGAGACTCTGGAGTTCTACACATACATGTTCCTTTATTGGTAATGTCGATACTGTGATCATTACTATTCGTATGTAGTATCATCGCTATTAGAACGGCGCTGCAGTGTCGCTCGCTATCGTGGTCTTCAGTTTCGTAATTTCCTAACAACAACGGTACTTTCTCCTGCCATTGATTAATTGCTTTTTGAATTGGTCCCGACCGGAGAGAGCGAGACGTCCCGGCCGGCCGCCATACGTTTCATTTGGTCATTTTAGGAGGTGGGATAGTTGATATGTGTAACATATGTTCACTGGCTGGCGATAAGGGCGGTCAACAGGGGTAGCCATATTTTTTTTCCTCAAAAGATAAAGGAGTCATGGATACACGTGAATGTTGTGTGACAGAAACCTCTACCAAAAGCGAGGGGTACCTGCGCCGCCGCCGCCGCCGCCGCCGCCGCCGCACACCCTGGTTCCCGTGAAATCTATTTGATGCAATATTCGCTTTGCTCTTGGTTATTGAATGGCGATTCAAAATCTACCTTTGCTGTACATTTATCAATACCATTGAACGAGCCTGCAATGATATTTCAAGTGATGAGGCGATAACACTCCTAAGCATTAGGTTCAATGCGTCGTCTAGACGCTGATTAGTCGATCAGCTTTACTCCATTTCTTATATCGGTGTGTTCACGCTATGCGCCATTTTTGTGGCCATACTTTTACTGCCTGCATAATCATGACCATGAGCATGCGTTCAACGTCGATTATCGTCTTCAGTTGCCCCTTAACCTTACTTTTTCTTCTTCTTCTTCTGACATACGAATGTATGTCTGATACTTTCATATGCAACTCATTCAAAGCTACCACTCCTGGTACAATCAACTAGCTCGGTAATTACTTAGCACTATGAGACGTTCAAATACATGTTTATTTACACTTTCGTTGGAGCACCTTAATAGTATTTTGAAAGGCATACTACTAATTCCTCTCAGCCTTAATATACAATTTATCTTTTGTTTGAAATTGTCAGTCGATGGTTCTCGGGACGTTACGAAATAGCTTGACAGTTCTTCCTGCCTTTTTTGACACTAACGTTCAATGGTAACAAAGTCTTCCAAATTACCAAGATGCAGTGTATCATCGAATAGTCAAGCATTCGAATATGTTGTGATACATACTTTGTAGGATTCAGACGACCATGTCTCTAGCCTGGTAAAGTACCGATTGACCCACCACGAAGTGTGACCTATCTCGTTTGTGAATTCATTTGTGCTTTCGGGGCTGTTCATCGTCACTCAAGGGTCCTACAGGTAAAAAGATCAAGCTTCTGTAATGAGCTCGATTGTATTAGTTTGGTCTAGCTTTGTCTCACAGGATGTCGGGTCTACAGCAGCACGTATACTCATACGACATGAGCAGTATCGAAGATATATACAGAGTTATCGTTAGCTAGGTAATTAGTATTGTAATGACATAATTGGTTGTAGCAGGTAAAGCATTCACCCCCCCCCCCCAAAAAAAAAAAGCATATTTAGGTGGAGGATATATATGTGTGTGTATGATAGTTACGCTATTCGGTAATACTTTGGTTGGGAGCTAAAAGCAGAGGGAGAAACTGGGCTATCGGACTTCAATGGTAAATTACCAAGACAAATCGCTCGAACAACATTTAATTGCCATCGTAAGCCACGACGAAACGATCTTTAGAAGCAGTATCCTTCTATTTCTACAAAATGTAAAAGAATATTTTTCTATGTTGCTGGACCACCCATTTCTTTTTCGCAGAAGGCTATATCATAGCGTTAGAAATATATGATGCAGCGAAAGGAAGATCAATTTCGGTTTGAACATGCTGAATCGTAGTTAAATAGCCTCTCTTAGTATCAAGAATGAACGCTGAAGATGTGGCGGAAGAGGTTGAAGGCGCTGTTATTTTGATTTAAATTTATCTTTTTTTTTCTCATGAAAATACTTAAAGCATTGAGAGTTAGTCATAATTGAGGTAGGCCAAGACAATCGTAAATATACCTTTGACGCAGTTCTTTGGAACTTTAAGATCTTGAACGCATTACGGACAAAGAAACATCCGCTGATCTCCTCTATAGAAGTCAGGCCGCTTATTGTCAGGCTAGCAGCATTTCGCTTATCTTCTAGGTACCTGTGATGAATAAAGTAATATATATTCATATATGCTCACCGTTACAAAACAGTAGCAATAATTCTGTCGTCCAGCAGATCAGCCTTTGCACCGTGTGACAAGTGCATAGTAATGGGTTCGATAATTGAACGTAGACGTTTTTTTCTTCATTCTTACGCGCTCTTCATCTCATCATCTGTTTACTTCGCCAGCCAACTGGCAATAATGACGGCCATTGATAGCGGCGATCGATACGATGCCAGCCGTAGTAGTTGTGGTGACCCGTGCTCAAGATGAATTCTACTTCCTTATCATTCGTTTACTGATGCTTTTCTCTTTTCCTTTTTGTCTTGGCACACCAGAGTTTTGTTCTCGCTATGTTTACTGCTGATTACTTATTTAGTTAGTTTCTGATATTTATTGAATTTCTACTGGCAGGGTTAACATCGACTAGAATGAATTATTTCTGCACCGGTCCACGACGTGCGACTAATGCGACGAAACATAATAAAAAAAAAATCGACTAACCAGTCAAACACTGGACTATTTGTCGAACCGTTACATCACTTACATTTTTAAAAAATTGGGCCTTTTGCACGTATAATACAGGCTGTTGACAAGGCTATAGAACATGGCCAATTATCTTCGAAAATTTCGGTATTAGGTAGGAGTGCGGAAAACACCTACAGTATAAATTCAGCTGATATTAGCACTCGTTTTATTACTGTTTTCTATTTCAAATTCGCAGACTATCATTGAATTGTTAGGAACAAGCGAATGGAAATTCGCCATTTGCGTAGAATAGAAGTCCTCTTGTCAAAAAAGATAGAAACACGCACAAGACGACTCGGTGATTTGAAAGCGATTCATCTATGGATACTATTGCTATTGTAGATGTCTATTTGTATATTGTCATTCGTTGACAGAGTCTAGAATTCAAATTGAGAACGTTACTCAAGAGGTTAACGAGGATCCAAACGGCGATTGCAGTGGTAGGGAACGATCGTTAAAAGTTCATTGGGGGTTGCAAAGAATGGATCTTTATATGCAATAATCACAGTCACTCGAACACTGCGAGGAAAAATAAAGTTGCGGAAACAAGCTCTTTCACACTGATTCACGATAGTGTTATTGTTTTTTCACGTATGGTAAATGGAAAACGCACCAGATCGTTCTCTTCGTAATAGCTATTGTGTAAGCATAATTACAGCTGTAATTTTATTTTATAATCTTAGTTTTTGCTGTTGATGCAAATTAGGCTAATATCATAGAGAGTCGCCGTCTGATCGCCAGGAAAAGCAGTTGGACTTCGAGCACAGATTTAGCGCCACGACTGCTATCCATGAGATCGGTCCATTGGTCTATGTTTATTTGTTACCTTTCTGTAGTAGTAGTAGCAGTAGTAACAGTAAACCGTGTGTATATAGATACGTCTTCGGCCCGTGCGTCTTTCCCTCCGACAGACCACGTTGCTAGAACGACATAGTCCGTCTCGTCTCTTTCGGGTGTACTTGTAACCGTGTGTGTTACACTATGTTCAAGCTGATTGGCATGAGAAGCACCGAGTCAGAAGCATGCTACGATAGTGCGATCCCGTTGATGCACTTCGCATCTTGCATATTTGTCTGCAGTTGCTTATGCTTCCTAACTTACGGACTGCGTGAATAAGATTTCACTGCTTGCGGTAGACGGGCATAGTTTCGAAAAATTGTAAACAGTTACCATTGCTAGTACTAGAACTACTGCGACCAGTCTTCATTCCTCTGGGATGGCCGGGACGGAATAGGTGTCCTGACATTGACTGGTTCGTTTCTACAATTGCTTACATATATGTGCACGTTTTCCAGCGAGTGTCGTGATCACCTGAATCCCTAGAGGGCAAGTGCCAATTTTTGTTTTTTAAAACCATTTAGGCGTCGTCCTCTATATGTGTGCGGCTATGTTGATATGCTGATTAGCCTTATCATCACCAACTATCTACCCGGTCCTAAGCTAACGTCTAGTCGATGTCTGAGTTCGGCCCCTTGTTACGCCGCCAGTTGCAACGGGAAAGGATCATTGGCAGGCGCTTTTGTGGTTGTTCCAGAACTACTTGCGCCCCCCGGACTCGTAGGGGCTGCCGACGTGGAGCCCGAAGCTGCAACGGTACAGAAGCCCAAAAAGTAGGGACAAAAGCCGTGGTTAGAAGCGAGGAATAGAGTTATGATCCGCATGAGTAGGTATCTGTTCTAGCTCCTTGCACCTAAAGACAACTTGTAGGGATTGTGTCACGAGTGAAGATTAGTGATAATCGTTTCTTTGAATTGATAAACACGTGAAACACTATTAATATGATAAGGCCTGCCAGCTAAGGAAAGATGGATTTTTACCACACGATATTTGAGCAAAAGCGGACATGGCAAACGCTTTTTTTCTTTTTTAGCATAATATGAGCTTACGTTGCATGGCAGATGATGTTGCTCCGGGGCTGACGGAGACTGGTTTATTCTGATCGCTTGGTCGCCGCGGCTTCGCATTAGGGTTGAGACCTTCGGCGTGGTTGATGGACAGCATCGGGACGTACTCCTCTTTGAGCACCGGGGCTATACAAAAACATAAAATAGATAACAATAAGCGGGACGATAACAGCAATAACAATGGGAACGGGAAAGTTAGAAATCAGCCTGTGTAACATTGGCATTGTCGGAAGCTTTGCAAAAGTAAATAACGTACGTACTAGATTAAAGAGCGCGCAGGGTAAGGGATGATAGAGCCGCATATAAAACAAGGCTAGAGACATTGGAATAGATAGCAGGTTTCTATTTCGGCCAATCGGAGAAAGTTAGGAGGCAGCAGGATAGGGTAAAAGGGGGTAGAGAGCATATATATATAGGTTGTCCGTCCAACAGCCCCTCGGAAACGTCACTGCTTCTCTGTTCCATCTCAAATGTGGACTTTTTCTCTCTGTGCGTGCAGTGCGTGGTTCTACTCTTCGCATTACCCCATAGCGTGTTCAATAGCAGACCAATTAGCCACGTGCACATCGCTCACGGATGGGTACTTACCTCGCGGTTTTAACGGCGGTCGTGGTGGTCGAATTGGATCGTCTGTACCTTGTCGTCCTGGACATGGACAAATTGTGGACACAGGAACAAAAGAGAAACACATGGTTGAATTAATTTGTGAGTTTGCATAAACTGCGTATGTAACGCACATTATCAAAAAGCGGCATATTCTAGGTGCTTAGGGCGGAGGAGTTGAATGCGTTTTAAGGATTCAGCATAGGTCTTAAAAATTGAGGGTAAATATACAATTCATCATACAGTAGTGTAATGTTCAGTACTAATGTTTCCTTTAATTAATAAAAGGTCGTAATTGAAAGGCTGTGGAAAATGTTAACGTATAATAGTTAGCATTTAATGCTAACCGCGGTCGCGACTCAATAAGCTACGTTATAAACAATATATGTATTTTTTATCGCCCATTTGTCGACTTAAGTTCAGTAGGAGAACATTGGGCGCTAAAACGAATAAATGGGTTTGAAACCAAGCGACCGTAATGCATTTATTGTTGGTAGCTGGGCATCACGGGAATAGAATTCACTTAACCCTTTCCAAAAAACACTCAAAATACACCATTACGCATCACTGTCGTGAAAATATTCAAGTTCCGCCAGTACGCGCCTAAATATAGACCTGGAACATTATTTTAGGATACGAAGGAACACATTAGGATTGAATTTAAAAATAGCAAGAATATAGTTTTTCAGGCTATTGTCTATTTATTATAACGTGGCGCTGCACCTGCATTACTGGTAACGATTATTTGCGGTGATAAGAAAAAGCAATATAACCCATCTAAAGGTGCTTACGTAAATCTACGAAACCATCAAACATCCTAAGTAGGATTATATTGGATACTTTAGCCTGTAATATACTTATACACAACCATTTTAGTAAAAATAAGATAACTTTACGAGCTCTTTTGCTAACCTTTTCAATTATCATCTATGTGAAACTTTTGTGTGGGCGGTATAGTGCGGCACGATAATCACCTGGTTTCGGCTAGTGTCGGATTGAATAGTTCGTGAAACATAACCTTAAGTTTGATGCAATTACTTATAGAAAGTTCTTATTTTTTAGCATTATACATCCTCTATTCAACAAGGCCTTTTTGTTGTTTATGAGAGCTACCAAGAGGTACTTTATTCTACCGAATATGCCCTGTGCGTTGGGTGACAGCTAAATTCCAACTCCAATAGCCAGAATTTTATTTAAGCAAGTAATGTATCCTTAATAGAGCAATAACGTCAATGTAGTTAGAGGAATCCCACGACTTCGAAGATCTCGGATGCTTTATTTTTAAAAAATTCTTTACATATGGTCAGAAGTAAGACTGTGAAGTCCAGTTGTTGTCGTTTTTGGTTCATTGACCTTTTGGAGTGATTTAAGGAGGTACAAGGGAGCCAGAACAGGTTTATATATCGACTGCAAAATGCATTGAACAAAGTGAAGTACACTGTTACATTACTGCGGTGTCACTACTAATGCTTAGGTAACGAAAAAGGTTTTCTTGTACATGGGTCGTAAACCTAAGCACTTTAGCAAAGCAGTTTTGCTGCAAGCGACGTTATCTAATCATTCGTTTACTCAATCGGAGCCTCGCTTCTGGACTCACCTAACTTGCTGCTTATCGTGGCGTCTCGGAATCCCTTGACGTCGTGGGCAGCGCCTCGGCGATTCGGCCCCCGGGGCACTTCGACCGGGAGAACTCGGCGCCGCTTTTTGGGCAGCTTGGCCCTCGCTTGTGTATGCGAATAGAACATAGCAAAATTGGATACAATAACAGGTACTGGCAGCGCAATGGTCAACACTCCGGCCAGGGCGCAGAGTGCTCCGACAAACATTCCCGCGTAGGTTTTCGGGGCCATATCCCCGTAGCCTACAGTGGTCATCGTGACCAGGGCCCACCAAAGGCCGAGCGGGATCGAATTGAAGTCGTTGTCGGGGTTTGTCTGGATCCTCTCAGCGTAGTAGACGAGCGACGCGAATATCACAATGCCGAGAACGAGGAAGAAGACTAACAAGATCAACTCCCCCGCGCTTGCCTTGAACGTCTGTATGAGGATTTTCAGACCGGCCGAATGGCGTGTTAATTTAAATAACCGCATAATACGGATAATAGAGAAAAATTCAAGTATGTCTGCATTTTCTAGATGAGAGGCAAACCTCTGGAGAGCCAAGTCAATGTAAAAAGACAGTGTGGCTGTAAAGTCAATGATATTGACCGCGCCACGAGCAAAATCCAACTTTGACGGTGACGCTATAAAACGCGTCAAGATTTCGATGGTGAACCATGCGTTGCAGACGACTTCGATATAGAAGAAGGCCTCATGCGGGTTCGTTTGTTGCTTGTCAAGGGTCCAAGCAAGTTCCTGTGTCGACGTCTGAATCGTGATATTCTTTATAACTGGTACTCTCATATTTGGATGCGTTTTTAGACAAAACGACAATATAGAAATGCAGATGAAAAACACCGACATAACACCGATCACCTTAGCCGCTGTTGACGAATATGGCTCATCAAATAATGACCATATTTTAGGTTTGGTCTTTTGCCACCAGGTGATTCGGCCGGCGTAGTAGTCTTCCTCAAAGCCGAACTTCCGCGCGATTTCTTCGTCGCTGGGCTTGTCGGTATCCAGATCAAGTCTATCGAGCACTGCCAACGTCTCCTGGGCATCTCGATGCTGTGTGTAGGTCATCCAACAGCACGGCTCGACCTGATTCGCGTCCAGCCCCCAAAATTCAAGCTCCTCTTCAAACAGAGGACCGCACACGTCCGTCGGATAGTGTAGTTTACCAGTGCGGTAATAATTAAGGATTTGGGCGAACACACCCGGATGTCTGTCGAAAAAATACTCGTTCAATATTGGATCATAATTTGCAAGCGCCTCTGTCAAACGAGAAAGGCGCGTCGCTGGGATCTTTTTGAGGGTGGCCTTGTACGTCTCGTGGCGGATCCCTCCCACGTTGAGCACAACCCGGTTCTCGGCGTCGAGGTTCATCGCGGGCGCTTCTGCACCTGAGGCCGACGCCCGGGTCGGGCCGACCTCGCTGCGAGCGCGTCACTCTGACTTCGCGATACTCTGGGGCGCGCAAATAACAGCCGAACGGCGGCGGCGGCGACAACAACAGCAACAACAAAAGCGACGGCGGCTGCTGCGCGTCTCTTTGGGGGTGGCGGCGACGGCGGCAGGAGCGACTGCGCGCTCTTCTGTGTAACGATGATCATCGGCGAACGCACGGCGCGGGCCGCTCGCCCGCCCCACAATTGCAATCCGCCTCTTTTTCGAGCAAACCTTCGTCGTCAACAGCAGCAGCACAAATAGGAATGCAGACTTGAACGCCGGCTCTAGCACTAATCAACGCCAATGCGTCCAGTGTAACTGTTATCAATATCCGCATCACAACCACAAAGATGACTCCGCACACTGCTGCTACTGTTTTTATTTTTGATATCTTTTTTATTGCTGCTGCCTCTTCCGTTGATTATAATAGCAGATATGCCGTTGTTGATTCAGCTGTTACTTCTTCTTTTTCTGTTGTTCCCTTTGCTGGAGCATACAATCAGTCCATTCGCAACTGCAATCCACAACCGCAGCTGGTAACCGCGTCCAGCGCCAGCGGAAAGCCCCCGCGTCGCAACGACGACGACGCCACTGACGATCGCCTGTAACAACACGATAACGCAAAAGGAATAACCCGTTACTCTTTTGGCTTTACAACAATTTTATTTTTGGGAGTCCTCAGAAAGATCATGTCAATCCATAAAGCTTTGTTACCTGCTCGTGTGGTACGAATCGTTGCATAGGATGGTATTACTACGAACTATCGTTCACTAACATTCGCCAACAGTTCCAATGCGTGCCCCGTTGCTACCTGCTTCTTCCCTTTGAAATCAATGCCATTGATCGCCAAATGAGTAAACCATTTCTCTGTATTTGATTAGTTATTCCGTATCTCCGATCATTGACAAATACCGTTTCAGAGATTACGCCCACTCGCAATATGCAGTGGCCATGTTTTCCCTACGTACTGTCAGATGGGTAATGCGCTCAAATCCGCCCTCAACGGTATTCCATTCTCTATAGAATACAGACGTCAATGACAGGTCATTTTTGTCAATTAGCTTAACAAGCTGACAGAAGTCCGTTCGGCTCCATCGCATATGACTCATCTCTTCTATGCTAAAGCACATCTATATGGTAACAGTATATTCTCACTACGACCTAGTACACCGATAATATTCCAATTATCTTTTCTAGATATTTCCGTTATTCACGCCACTCGAACGTTCCACACGGAATGATGAATAGTAAAAAAAATAAGTAACCTCTAGTCATTTCCTCTCAGATGAAAGCCTTTCCAAAATGTCACACACTTGAGAGCTTTAGCGTATAGATAGAGCCTTTTGTTGTATGCATAGTTATTAGATACGGAGCTATCAGAAGCAACAGCAAGAACGGCGACGCGCTTGAAAGCAACAACTGGACAATTATTTTGTTTGTCTGCGTGTTAATAATCTATTATCTATCGTCGAGGCATGGAGCAAAGTATCTAGACACACCGAGTTCCATCAAGGCATTTGTTTTTAAACGAATTTAGTTACTTTTATTGTTGATGAGGCACATGCACAAACATACACTTACATATGCTTGTGTTTGTCTAAACTGAAATGAATGTTCCGAGCTGAAGCCAGCTTTGTGACCAGTGTCTATGCCCGGGTTCGAACCACCACGTGTCTGTAAGATCAGAAGGCAAACACGCTACCCACTAAGTTATCACACGGATTGGGTTAACTATTATGCCATATTCTAACCGCCCAGTTCACTTTGACCAAGCTCGTCTTTATCACGTCCGAATACACAGGCTTTGGCTTTTCGAGCTGTACGATAAAATGGAACACTCTAAACTTTTTCAGGCTATATGGGCGACTAAACACGTTTGAAACAGGACTCCCCTGTAAAAGAAAGATTATTTGTGACGGTCAAAACTCCATCAAAATTTACGTCTACTCTTACTACGGTTGTTGCAGATAGGGGCGCTATTAAAGTCTACATGGTTATAAGGATCTTCTGGTCAATGGTTTTGCGTCATAACTGGGTAGTACATTAGTAAAGGAAGTAGCACATCATAGTTATATTTGCTCGTCACAAACTCAACGGTCCTGTTTGAACTAGTTGGGATAGTCGCTTCCGGCCAGTATTCACACTGATGTCGACAGACTAAGTCTCGTTAACTGCCAGCATAAACGGTCCTCAAATATAGTTTATATGAGTTCCTACAGCCGCGGTTATTTTCTTGTTCTGCACAATGAACTAGCAGTGTACAGACCTCCGTTTGCGGCGCGTGTTAGCGAGAATACACCTGAAAGGAGAAGAATGTGCATATATGTGCGTGTATTTATATGTGGATATATATGTGCACTCATGGCGTAACATGGTAGTGGCGTAGAGTGGTAGAGTGAGGTCGTATAGAGCTGACCCCGACGACGAGAGCCCAGCGATATAGGTACAATATCGCTTTTAATGCCTTCTCACGACCATTCTTTGTTTTAGGACCTGGTCGTTTGGCATATCCGTGTATACATACGCTTTTTCCCCCTTTATCCCCCGACGCGTAACTGCCCCCTATGGTGCGTGACAGCGAATTCTGCAACCCGTTTGCCGCTACATCACTTCTAGTACCACACTCTATCAATGCATCGGTTGCCTGCTTTAACGCAGCAGTGGGACGTTTCAGTTCCCCTTTAACAGAGATTTCATTATCAACTGCCCTTCTTCTCCCTTCACCTCTGTACGCTTTTTTTCGTAAGACGTCAAGAGGGGTCGTCGGAAGCAGGCGTCTGCACACGTTTATCTCCTCCTGTTCCTTCCGTTTATGGTTGCGTTGGTCTTTGCATCCTTTTTGATCATCGAGCCATGCTCTTTCCAGCTATTATTTAATCATCAGAAAGTAATCAGACACGTACAGGCTCAGCTCTCTGCTCACCCGCTGGCTGGTTGAGTGACGAACTCGCGCGGGTCGATCTACGACGAACGGACGGAAACATAGATGGAGCGAAAGATCGCCGTTAGCAGTAATGCCACCGGCGCCGAAGCTACCACGAGCGCCACTTCCATCGTTTTCATGCGTCTAGCAGACTAACCGGCCGCATATGTACAATACTTATATAGTATACTTAACATGGACACTTTGCTTTTTCCGCAGCAAGCCTGTGTTCCGACTGCTGCTCTAGACGCTATTTATATCTTTCACATTTTTGCTTTTTAGCTTCTTCTATGACGTATAAAGCTTCAGCTCTAGCTTCAGAATAGCTCTGATGGTCGATGTCCTGGCCTTGACGTCTAACATAAGCAACCGAAATACACGCAGCAGCATTAAAACAGGTGGCACCCGTAACAACAACAGACAAGACAATTGTACCGGAACACCACAGCAGAAGAGTGTTCGTAGACTACGTAGGTATCAACCCTTGACTTTACAGACGACTTATGGACTCTTTATATTTTCAGTCCTATCGAAAATTACTAATATGACCCTTGTAGTGAGTTGTACTTCACTGACTATAGTCTGGCAAGTAAGGTTATTTTTTTTTAAATAGTTTTTTTTGGTCTTCTCAGATTATATTGTTAGAGTAATACGACAACAGCTCAGCCTTTAGCATACATTGTAAGCCCTATATTATATATATGTATATTACGGCAGGTAAATATTGCTACATCCCTTACTCATTCAGCGGTATTGGTCTATGCCAAGTTCGGCGCGAAGTTTTAGGTCATTTATACCCGAGGGCCTGGCGTACTCACGGATCGAGCCATCAATTCGTCTAAAAGAGAGGAGCTGGTATAATACCTGATGCTTTGAATGGGACCGAGGGGTCGGTAACAGACAAAGTGGTTTCGACAACGATGTTTTCTCGTCACGTCTCACCTGAATGCCTGCCACATAAGAATTGCAAAACAATCAGTCGGCGTTTATAGAAAAGAAGTATCTTGTTTAGGGACACAAAAGAGGAAAACTCTGAGTGTATTATTACTAACAATCGAAAACACCGGCCATGGGCCCCTATCCCAACACATGTAGGATACACAGATAGACATATCTGGACATAAGCTAGAGGAACAAAAACAACGTTACTGTTCATTTTCAATTCCGTCTGTTGGTACACGCAAGTGGACAGGAGCGCCACCAAGAAAACAAGTGTACGAGGGTCAACGATTTATCTCGAACTCTGACAAGGGATGCGGTAGGCTCGCGTAGTTTTAAACTTCCATCAGTGTCTATGGCCTCTCCAGAAACTGGCTGCCTAGAAGAAACCGAACTATGCTAGTGATGCTGTTGCTACTGGCGTAAGCCGCTGTCAAGCCGTATCTTATCAGATCGACACAGATGACATTTACGCGTGTGCTCTTTCTTCTTTTGTGTTCGATGGACAGAGGCGTTGTCTTGCAAAAAACTGCTATCGGAAAAAGCCTTCAACTTCAAGCACATTTTTCAAAGCGTGCGAGAGGACATAATAGACATTTCATCAATACGCTACCTGTGTTTACTACAGCAGAGTCCTCTTAAAAGGGTTCCTTATACTCATTACTCTGATCTACTCGTCATTACTCGAATCCACCAGTCGAAAGGTAGCTTGCAGTACAACAGTACATAAGAAGAACCGTAAAGCGGTGACACTATGTGTTTTTATGACGATAGTTAGCAGTTTGTACTTTAGGGGGACTTAAAAAACCAGCCAATATTGCTAATAAACTTAATAGCTATTACATCTCCAAACATATTCCATATATATATATATATATATATATATGTATATATATGGCCAGAAAAAAACGCATCGTGAAAGCTCCATTCAGCTAAGTACCGACCCCGGCTCATCAAATCGATGCAATACATGAATGTGATATACTTTAGTGGCCAAGTTTTTCTCAAGCACGGGCCAATGAATGACAAGTATGCGGAAGCGTTCTTTTAACTTTGTTATCTCGCAAAAATACACATTTTTCCTAGAGGTACAAAAACCTTTTTTGTGCCGTCTATACAGTAAATAGATTCGTTTCGTCAAGATCTGTGTTCTTGCAGATTCATAGTCTTTAGTAACTGAATAAAGCTGAAGTAAAAATAAACATACGTAATTCGGCTATACTCCCAAAGTTAGACGCAAAATTTATCTTCTATGCATTAATGCTTTTCTTTGTATACGCATCAAAAATTAAAATCTAATAAAATATTAGAGGATACACAGCCCTCATGGGTCACACATCTTAGGCCACGCAGGTTGTTTCGTATTTTTATCTAAATGTTGTAGTTTCATAGAGTATTATATGTAGATGATACATCCGGCCCCAGAGAACTAGTACGCTTTGGACGAGAGGCATAAGAAGTTCGTTTGCAGTTCCCAAGCTTAACATTGAGCTCTGTTCTAAGTGTAATCGCGGCTAACCTTGTCAACGCGTCAAAGCGCACAAAGATGGATTTATATAAAGAACATAGTTATTTAAATGATCAATCCACTTCCATGACGATAACGAGGTGTTTTCTGTTCTGAGGATCTCAAGAGCAGAATATACGAGCGTTTCATCCGAAGGAGGGAGCCAGATAAATAAGAACGAGGGTCGTACAGCTAGGTCAGCAAGTAGGTGAATAAATAGAAAGACGTTGGTACACTATCTTTTATCATTCCAACATCGAAGCTGGGTCTAAGGATGGTCATAGAAGTCGCACAATTTACGACTTCTTTAGGAGAGACAAAGGATAGGAAAGAGAGAAACTAACTTCGATCGAGAAGTGAGGCCGCGGCAGCAGTTACAGAAGTAGACGAAGTAGCACTGGAATATCTACTAGTTGCTGAAGTAGCAGAAATAATAATAATGACACTGCGTCAGTACTCAATCGTCATCGCAGTAGAGAAGATGGAACCGGCCTACCGCTGCTGTTTCGGTACCAAACTGTTGGTGGGTCGGGCGGGTGTCTGGTCTGCGCAAAGCAGAATATCTTGATCGCACCGCTTCTACGTGGTATGCATGCATTATTCGACAGACATAGAAATGAAGCCTAGGTGCCTCGTACTCCGTGACACACATTCCTCGCCGCCTCCCCACTGAGACTAACATGACCCCCTCTTGCCCTGCGCCTTTACGGTGGTTAATAGTAATAAAATGGGCGGCATCCTTGGAATTGGTTGCAGTCTTCCTCTTTTTTCGAAGACTTTCTTTGTTAAACGTTGGTGCTCTGCCATCATTAGCGACCCCGCAGCCAAGTGGCCCAGTAGAGAACGAAGTCAGGCAAGAAAAAGAATGGAGAACGTTGGAATCCGTTAAGGGAAAGCGGAGGCAAGAAGCTAAAAGAAGCAAAATAAGGAACTGCAAGTAAGAGAAATTTCCACCAGTAGGCAGCCATGAGACCAGAAGGTTAGGCAAAAAAAAAAAAGAAGAACAACGATCTGTTGTGCTTTGAGGCGACTATTTCCTTGATCGGACTCACGCGTGCACACAGCCGTTCTGACGGAACTGTACCAACGCATTGCACAGACATAGATCGCCAAACACAAGAAAGACAGCTTCTTATCGGTTCTGGTCTGATCGCCGTTGCCATCGTCGTCTTCGAACTGAAAGATTAAACAGAATCAGCTGAAGCAAGACAGGCGGCCTATAAACGGGAAAACAAGACTTGGACACTGGGTTCAGTAGCAGTATGCTAATGGTTGAAGAGAATTGTTGAAGAAAAAGAATAGTAA